TATATATATATATATATATATATATACACATATGCCCATATACATATATATCTAGTAGTTATATTGATTAAAAATACTAGAGGGTCAGATGATTTTCATTAATGTATTTAAAAAAAAAAAAACATTTAATTTTAATGCAAAATATAACTTAGAATAGTCTTGAAATGTGACCTGAATGTGTTTTCATGAGATTGACTCTATTACTCTCACGTTGTCTCTGTGGATAAGAGCGAGATCACAAACCTGTTCTGATAACAGAGAGGCGGATACGATCTACAATAACAGCAGCGGGACTCCGACTTCAGCTGCTCTGCGGGAAATCAACAGGAGCGTTTAGTTCTAGCCGAGCGACCCACAAACGAATCAAACACGAGAAGAACACAGCACAGAGATCTTCAGCAGTAAATACTCTGTTCCTCTCTAGCAAACCTAATCCAATCCATCTGCTCACCGAAGCGCTCGACGCTCCGTCCTCGTCCCCAAACCCTCTCCTGTCCTCAGAAGTTATAAAGCGCGGCGGCTCGCAGGTCAAAATTGTCAATTTTAGGACAAAAAAAAACAAACAAAAAAAGACCAACCTGCTATAGGCTAATCTTAGAAATAGAGCTGCTAAAAAAAAGGGGTTTTGCAGTGAAAATTTTTTTTAATATATTTTAATACCCAAAAGAACCTTTATGCACTATATAAAAAAAGGTTCCTCAAGAAACCATTGATGCCAATAAAGAACATTATAAGCGTACTGTAATTCTTTACAGATGACTGGCAAAACAAAAGGTGTGTATTATGTGATATTATATAACTAAATATCAATTATATTAATATGAGAATATATTAATTAAAACATAATATTAATAGTATTATAATTTTAATTCAATTATTTTTTATTTACATGTCATCATGAATTATATCTATTGTATTTATGGTAAAAAAAAATTATCAAATTTTTTAAATTAGATAAATATATTTATAATATAAATTATATGAATATAAATATGTAAATGTATATACATGTAAATATTTTCAAAATGACTAACTCTAAGTCAGATGATTTTTATTAATGTATTTTTTAAAAAAGCATAATGTTCTTTCTAAAATATCTGATTGCTATGGCATATTGTATAAATAAATAAATAACATTAAATATACATCAACAATATAAATATAGAATTCTATTATTTATTATATATATAAATATTTCATTAATATTCGATTATATTAATTATATAATACTAGTATTACATTAATTAAAATATTATAATTAATAAAAAAAAAATATGAATTTTTTTTAAATTTACATTTCATAAATTATATCATATATGTTCATATATATTATATTGTAAAACTAATTATCAAAACAAAAGTGTGTCTGGATCAGATTATTTTTGTTAATGTGTTTTTTTTTATCAATGTTCATTAAAAAAAAAACTTCATTATTTTAATTCTAAAATATCTGATTGCTATGGGATATTATAAAAATAAATAATATTAAGTATATCAGCAATATAAATATAAAATATTGTGTATTATATGTAAATATTATATTAATAATATTATAATATGAATTATATTGTATATTGATTAAAATATTAATTAAAATATAATAAATAAAAACATATGTAAAGATTAGAAAATAATATATAACTCAGAGATATCTTTAGTAATTAAATTAAATCAGATAATTATCAAAATATAATTATAATTATTATTGGATGATTTTCACTAATGAATTTAATGTCAAATGCAGATTTTTGCATTGACAAAAACAAAACACACTTCATTCAAAATATAATAAATATAATTTGTAAGTATCTTTAGACTTAATCATATTCCACTGCTACTTTTTCCCACTTTTATGGAATAAACAAGGAAACAAATCTGATCTACTATAATCATATTGGGGTTTGTAAAGAGATGCAATAAAAATAAAAAAAACTTTCAGTGATCGGTTCTTAAAAGAACCATCATGTTTCTTAGTCTGAAAAATATTTTAACCATCTAAAGAACATTTTCCATTATGAAGAACCTGCAAAGATTGCATGGGTTTTGAAGGTGCTTCATCACACCATCAATGCCAAGAAACAACCTTCATTGTAAGTGTAGTGTTCTTCTTTATAAACGACAAAACAAAAGAAAGGTGATCAGTTCTCGCTCCCGTCACGTTTATCAGCGATTAACAGGACAACACTCCGGTATCCTGATACCTCATTAATAATTACAGCACCAGATTAAAAAAACAATTTGTGTGGTGCAAATAAATCTGAGGCCATTTGTTCGGGACTCTCAGAGTGGAAAGGCGTTGGATTTAGTTTTTTCCGTCCTCACTTCGTGTACAGAACGTGAGGAAAGACCTGGACATTCATCAGGATGGACAGATTAAATGAACATCAAGGTGTGGATCATGTATGAGAGGAGGTATATGGGTGTTTATATGGACACTTGGCCTTGCTCCCTTAAAAACACTTTTTGAGATCACTAGTCAGGAGATCTGTCATTCTCAGTAACGTCATTTTCAATAAAAATGTCACATTACATTTACATATTACATTTAATTGCAATGAGATTTTAATTTTTTTGGAATAAAATATAATATAAGGCAAATTTCATACTGAGCATTGCATGCATTTTAAATACACACAATATTTTCTCAATTATTATAATTTGACAAATTACTGCTTGGTTGGAAATGATGCATTGGTATTTTTGGTAAAACTTTACAATAAGGTTCTTTAACATTACTTAACTACATTAATAATGAAAAAAACTTCATGTACTGTGTATATTTATTATGTAATTTACAGACTAAACCATCAGTTCTTCCAGATGCAAATGGATTACAATGTTGTGCTCCACTTATACGGACTATATTGCATTTCTGCAAACACAAACACACTAAAAAACGGCTATTCGCCACAAATATACAGACTAAACCAGCTTTTCTCCAAATGCAAACGGTCTAAACTGTTGTTCTTCAAAACAAATGAACAAAACCAGTTTTTCTCCCAAATGCAAAGACTAGACGGTTGTTGGTGACATTAATACATACTAAACTGCCTTTCTTCCAGATGCATGTGGACTAAACCAACCATTCTCAGATTAAAATAACCCAACTTAAAATGACACTCTCAAACATATACAGAGGTTTTCCCAAATACAACAGATTAAACCAGCGTTTCCCCCAAATATGAACAAAACCAGCTTTTCTCCCAAATGTGAGGACTATATAGACTGTTGTTGGCAACATACAGACTAAACTGCCTTTCTTACAGACACATATGGACTAAACAAGCTGTTCTCCAGTTTAAACACAACTAAACGAATGCCCTAAAATAGAGACTAAACTGTTGTTCTTCCAGAGTCAGACACTTATGAACAAAACCCAACTGACTAATCCAACCGTTCTTAAAGGGGTCATATGATGCGATTTCAAGTTTTCCTTTCTCTTTGGAGTGTTACAATATGACTGGTTTTGGAGTCCAGGGTCACATATAAGCCACTGAACATCTGTTCTCCTGAATATAGCTACATATTACATCCGATATATAGCTACATATTAAATCGCTGTTATTCAGATGTGTATACAAAGCAGCTGTTCTCCACACGTTAACAGACTAAACCCGCTGTTTTCAGAACAAATAAGCGACAGGCTAGATCGCCCTTGACAGCGACTAAGAAAACCACTAAAGAATCTGAAATGTTCACTGAAATGTTGAAGGTTTAATTCAATCATAACATATCTGGTATATAATATATATATAGTTGTCTAGTGAATCTCACCTCTAGAGGTGTGGATGGACAGCGTTTCTCTCCTCGCATTGGCGTCTCCCGCGGCTCGGTTCCGTTCACAGCCCCGTTAAGCTCAAACACACACCGGCTCCGGTCCGCCGCGAGCTGGAGGCACTGAAGGCTGAGAAACACATGCGGAAACCAGCTTTATAAGCGAGGCGCAGGATGCGCAACGAGCTCTGATTGGACAGATCCTGCGCTGACCCCGCCCACAACATCTTGATGGACCGTGTGGCTGCGTGAGAAAGAAATAAAAGCGTGATTACTCAACTATAGGTTGCGGACAAAATAGTCTCCAGAAGTGAGCTAAATGTGACACAACTTCCCTTTTTGACTGAAAATGTCTCCAGAAATTAAATCTGACAAACCAACGCCTCCTTAAAGGGAAATGGACGGATAGACAGATAGACAGATAGATAGATAGATAGATAGAGCACCGTGTATAAAGTTATTGTCTCTCAAAAGAAAGAGTCGACTCTGAATCATTGAAACGAGTCGTTTTTAAAACGAATCCCAAGCCGTTTCATGTTGATGTCAACATGAAACATTAGCATATTGCCCGCCCACTTGTTGGTCTTTTCGCGTTGGTCTGAATGAAAATGCAAATTCATTCTTTGCCACTAGGTGTCGCTTTTGGAGCAGTAAAATAGCGGTTTCCCCGGTAACGCTGTACACAAAGCAGCACTGCGCTCACAAACGCTGCTTTATCAGGCATTACAGGCGAGATGACATGAAAATGAGACCAATCTGACCAATCACTGCAGATAAGCGTCAGGCAAAGGAGGGGTTTGGAAAAATGAATCGTTGAGCGAATCGTTTGGGAGTAGATGAGCAAGTAAGGTATAAATAAATGCATATTATAAGACAATGAAAGTGTTTTTTGACCTTGCATGCATGTCAACCTGTTGTTGGGGACTCCCAAAACCAAAATATGAACCTTTCATTACCCATAACAGGGGCACTTTAAAACAACTAAATATATAAATATAATTAAATATAAATATTCTATATAATCCCATATAGCAATATTTTCAGATTTTTTTCAAATATGTATTTTACATTGATTAAATATCAATTTGCTAAAATGTTTCAAAATATATTTATGTAAATATATTTTATAATTATGTTTTTTATATATAAAAAAAATATT